ATTAACATAGTTATTGCAACTATAAAATATTTTATTCAATTATTGTACATTAATTGAATAAAATATTTTAGCTATAGCTACACTGTTAGAAATGCTTCCTTTACATGTAAATGAAGCTCATGATTATGAACGAAATTAAAAGTAATGAATGATTTAACTGAAAATTAAGTTACAGTAATTACTTAAATGTAATGAACGTGTACATTAAATTTTATAAATTTTCATGAAAAATACATTAAGGGCGTTCTCTGAAAAAATCCATTTTTTTTTTAGATTTTTTTAAAACTTACAGAATAAGCTTGTTTTAATGTCTTGAACATGTGTGCTTTAAAACTCAATACTCGGAGCGGGATTAAAAATTGAGATATTCCACTTCAAAGTTGGTGTTTAAAAAATATATATATATATACATTTTTTCCACCGATGGCAGTAGCGAAGGCGAGAGGCATTTTATATTGTATAAAAAAACTTCTATAAACACATTAACACTTATGAAATATTTTATACTATATAAAAGTGAAATAAATTTTCATAAAAATTTTCATAATGGTGAGCACTAATATGCTCATTAGGTTAAGCACAACTGCAGTTGGAGAACGTCCTTAAATTTAACGTAATGGCATGAAATTAGGTTCAAATTGTGTAACTTAAAAGAAAGTATATTAAATTTTATAAATTTTCATGAAAAATACATTATGAATGTCCTCCGAAAAAATCCATTTTCTTTATATTTTTCTGAAACTTACAGAAGCTTGTTTTAATGTCCTGAACGCTTAAAAGTATATTAAATTTCATGAAATTTTTAATAGTGTATCACGTGCTGACATCTTTATAATTGCTCCTACTATATTTTTCTCTGAGTATGTGCCAAGAAACGAAAGATATAGTTTTTTCCACTCACGACAAGACCAATTTGCATTAAGCCGTGCCAGTCGAGGCTGAGAGGGAAAATAATTAATAACTCCTGGATAGTATACGATAAGCAAACAACCACCACGGAAAAATATGCTTTACATTAACGCATGCACGCACGCATGTACTCACGCACGATGCCTTTTACGCGTCTCGCTAGACATATTATACGTACATTTCTTTCGGTGCTATCTCTTTTTTTTTACTCTCCTTTTCTTCCTCTTGTTTTTTTATTCGGTCCGATTTGCATTAAATAGCGCACGCACCCGTATGCCTGCGCACTAATTTATCGCTGAGATATGTTTTACACCACTTTCATGCTTCGTGCTACCACACCTCGGAAAAGTCACTCGTACGCTGATGAAATGATAAAGCACTCCCAGCAGAGAAGGTGCCGCGAAACGTGTCGGGTTGGACCGCGACGTAAAATTCAATTTTATTCGCGATACCGTTGCGAAAGTACTCTCCTCTGTCCCTCCCCACTCACGTTCCTTCCGTTCCATTCATATTTTAGATATACATTATTTAAAGTTCATCAGTTCAAACATTACCTCCCTCTCTCTTCTTCCTCGATAAGACGAGGTCTGTAACTTTACCTGAAATATCGGTTTAAATAAACGGTTTAAATCATTTCGGAGATGTTACATAAAATATTATTATAGAAGTCTGGTCTTTTTAGATTTTTATTTTGTTCTAGATTTCCCGAAATATGAATATTCGTGGTTCCTAGAATTCTTGAATGTTTGACACAGTTGGATGTTTTAATTATGTGAGTAGATTAAATCAGATTTCCTCGATAAGTTTGGCTCACGAAGATGACTTCGATTCACCTGATATTGATAAAATAAATTTCGCGTGGATTTCAGACAAAGTCTAAAAAGAGTTAAATAAATCAATCTCAATCTCTCTCTTCACGTTCGCTTTTGTTTTTCCACTTTAGTAGCACGACGTATTTCGTGATGACCTTACATTCGTAATTAATTAATTCGACGTCATTCCCCACGCAAATAAAAGTTCCGCCGTAGTTTTACGCGCAGTAATTGATATAACAGCGAGCATCGAAAGGTCGAACGGCCGCGAATAAAAAACTAATTGCGGAGGCGTATCGAAAATGGCGAGTGCTTATTAAGAACGATCGCATGAATGTTTAAAAGTTCCATTCTTACACCTCGATAAAATTAAAAGCGTGTCTACTTTAAAGCGGAAAGCAGCTTAAAACGCTAAAATCGGTTATGTACAGCAAAACATTTTATTCATTCATGGCGTACCATTTCTACCAAAACGGCGAAGCATAAATGAAATTTTAATGCATGTTGCATTTGTGCTACCAGAATCTTAATAAGCCAACATAATTTTTAATTAAGAAATAACATGATACATTTATTCTCTCTGACGATATTTTTGTCGAAATCTATCTTTGTAAGGATCCAGAAATTTTTCTACTTCTAAAATGCAGCAGTGATAACATATAAGGACACAGTTCGCAGAATTTAAAGATATTTCTTAAGAGATATTCCTCTTTATAGAATAGAATCAAATTTATTAGCTATCATTCATAAGAATAGATTTTATATAGTTTTTCTTAACCTCAGACATTTATTCATATTATAATTAAATGGCTAACTAAAATCTATTAGCTAAATATGTTATTATTATCTAAACCTAAATTTTTATACTGCTAAATTAAATCGACGTCAAATTATATCCAACTTGAGTTATTTTTTATCATTTCTATATGTCATTAATTTATAATAATTAAAACAATCGAGTTAAAAAAATTTAACTCAAGAAAGTGTATTAAATTTGACCCAAATTTAGTTTATTATTTAATAAGCATACCATATTAATATGGATGTTGTTTATTTTGAAACTAATCACAAAAATGGATTGATGATTTAAATTTTGACATATATGGAAGTTAAAAATATTGTTTAACTCAAGGATTGGATTATCTTTGATGTCTAACAGTGTAAGATTCCTTTATATACACAAATAGTAATTCGCTCATCCTAATTTCAAAAATATGCTTCCGGATATCTCTTTCTTTTTTAAACGTACATCCCAGTTTCCACGACGGTGGATCTCTAGCACGGATGAACGTCAGGAAAGTAACCGGAAGTGGCTCTGAGTGCACGCCGGGAAATTCATGAGAGCTGGATCAGCCGGAAAAGGGATCGTTGCCTCTTGGCGCGCTCCATACCAAGCTTTTCCATCCCGACATCAACGACTGAGGAGCGAATGAGAAGAGAGAGAGAAAGAGACGTGGCAAAGGCCAAGGGGAAACGAGGAGGACAATTCGGAAGGGAGGGTGTCGATTTGCAATCCGGACGATATTTGCAAGTTAAAGACTCGCACTGCTGGCTGAAGCACGACGTACGCCGCATCGTCCGGATAATCCGGTGGATCGAAAGAGATTCGTTTCACCTCGACGTCGCCACCGCCTAGAATTCCGTCGCGGCTGTCTTTTAAGATCAAATTACGTGTCCGCCCAAGAAAGCGGACTCGGAAGTGCTCCAGGGAACGTTTCGTGCCTCGCGATTGCGCGATTTTCATCCGAAGATTGTCGCGCTGATGGCTTCCCTTTGACGTCGTAATTGCGGTATAATAAACACATTTACTTTCACAAAGCGCGGATCGTATTTTTCGTACATTTTTCACGTGAGCCTCAAAGACGTAACTTCGGTTCATGGTCTTTGTCCTGCAACGATTATGGGAAACCATTCCATCAAACGAAAATAATTAAAAATATTGTGCCAACGTAATAAACGCAAAACGTAAAATAATAAACGTAAAAAACCTAACCCGAGGCATGACTCGCTGATTTTTGCAGGCTTTTCTCGTCAGGAATTCCTGACTCCCCTATCGATATTTATTAGTGTGTCCCATTGTACCATGATCGTGTGCACGAAACTTCATACGGAACTTTATACTTCTAATTGCTTGGCGTCTCGAACTTCGCTTCTTCAGCCTATCTCTATGTATGGAGAAACGCGCATAACTTTTAATTCCCGACTCCTCTCTGCGAATCTAAATGTGTGCGCTATGTGATGGCTCCTGTTTGTGCACGAAATCGACTTGTATGTAATTCTTCGAAAACGTTACAGGCACAAGGATCCTCTCAAACAGATCTCTACGCTCGAATTTCCACTCACTTCTTGTTCATCGTTCGCGTGAAATATCTTTGTTTTAATTACTTAAATTGTCGAGATTATATGAATTAAAATCTTTTTGGTCCACTCGACGGATTATTCATTAAAGCAATCCGATTTGAGCGATGAGAGTCGACCACGTGCCTTCGAAGAATTCACTGTGCAGCGTCTAGCATCTTCTTTGTGTGTGCATCTTTTTTGTGCGTGAAAAGAGCTACGTCTTTTTACCTGTCCTCTCTTATCTCTCTTTACCTTGATTATTTCCACTAATACGGATTAATTCTAATCTCGGTTCAAGTCTTCATTTTTTTTAGTTCTAAAAATTAGAAAAAGATATGAGTTCAACCGAGATTAAAGTTAATTTACATTGATGGAAAAAAACGGGCAACTTGTCAACTTTTGCTGCTATGTTTTCAATTCTTTTGTTCATATCTTTTTATCTTTGTTTATTTTAATTTTTTATCTTGTATTATTCTGTATTATTATTTATTGATATTATTTTACTTTCTTCATTCAAAACAGAAGTGTTTAATTTTAAGATATTGAAACATTTTATTCTTGCCTCCGTTTTTGAACACTTAAAGATGTTTTAGTTTTAAACTTTTTGAATAAACAAAACACTATGTGTCTGGATTTAAAACACTAAAACGTTTAAAATTAAAATATCTTTTAAAGTTTGTTTTGTAAACATATTTCAAAACGTAAACATAATAAACACTGCACTTTATACAGTGTTTTCATTCTGCTTTTTTACACTTTCATTTTCTTTTTTGGTCACTTTTTGTTCTTAGAAGACTTGCCCTACAATATTAATAAAAGCCTTCATCTATCTATCTACCTATCTCACTTCTTTGCTCTTTGACGCAATTTCGATGTATGATACAATTCTTAAAGCGCCGCGAACATTTCGTTCATAGAGCTCCGCTTGGATTCTTGCAGGTGGCGACCGCCGCTGAGAAGAAGAAGCTCTACTTCAACGTGGTGCAGGGACCGATGGAGAACCAGACCGTCACAGTGGAAGGCGGTGGCGTGAACGCCACCATCATCACCGCCAACATCGCCGCCACCAATGGGATTATCCACATAATCGACAGGCTTCTCGGGGTGCCCTACACCACCGTGCTCGACAAACTCAGGACTGATCCGATGCTCAAGTGAGTCCCTTACCTTCTTCCTCATCTTTATTCATCTTTATGCAAAGCAACTCGGATCATCGACTCTCTGGTTTTATGAAGGATCTTGAGCGTCGCACCAGTAGCATTTTAAAAAACACGAAAAGCAGACGGGCGCATAAGAGACATCCATTACCCGATAGAGTCCACTTGCAATTCCGTTTAATTTTACGAGTTCACGTTTTCGTTGTATTTAAATCTTTAATTTTACGTTCCAGAGTAATGTGAACAGGAATTATGTAAATCGTTGCGCCGAGGCGTCCGGAATTTCCACTCCATTTCGTATTCCCTCCTTCCGCAGGAGAATAAAATACAGGATCCCGATTTTCTGTTCGCACGACGAAATGATATACCGGACGACGATTCGTCCCTCGCGAGAGAAATATCTCTATCTCGGTAATTGCGAAAACGGCTCCTACGCACGTCCTTGGATACACGTGGATCAGTCACGCGAACACGTGCGAGCCTCCACCCACGTGTAGATACGATCTTCGCAAGACACACCATCACCACTACGCCTTATCCATTCCTGAAAGAGAATCTTATCCGCGCGTGACTCCGCGAACCTTTCTTCCGCACGACTCGCCCAACCCCGTCTCGCTTCTTATTCCTCCGCTTTCTCTCTCTCTCTCTCTCTCTCTCTCTCTCTCTCTCTCTCTCGTTCGAATTTAATTAAAATAACGCAACAAATCCCCATTCCAATTACCGCGGACCCCGTCGACCCCGCCATGGCGGTGCCGACGTAAAAAACTATAACCGTGCCAAAGTCTTACGCCTGGAATTGTATAGTTCCGCAGGGCACCACGTCGTATCTATTAAATTCGTAGTCGGGCGCGTCCCTCCACGTGCCGATATTGCCTCCTTGTCCAATTTAACGGTCGGTACTCGAAGCGCCGCGCAAAAAGCAAATAAACTCACTCGGTGAGATTACCCGGGCTAGAACATACCGGGCTCGGAGTACGAACTCTCGGCGCATCTAGACTCGCCCCGTTTAACTCCGGCGTCCTACAATCCGAGAGATTAGGAGAACCTCGAGATTCGTGAACTTCTGGAAACGATTAGTCTAAGGTTAAGGCATCAAGGTATCGAAATTTGTAGAGCCTATTGGAATTCAAAAAGTGCACGTCCTAAAGCATTCATAGATGAATGATTTTAAGAATTCAATTTCTAAAGGTGCCACCAGACGATATGGCCAATGTATGTCAGATTTTCAAATATTATATACAGACACATGACATGCATAATTATCCATGAAAGTAAATCAATTTAGTGAATGTGTGCAAAATTGGCTTATGTTGGCCAAATCGTCTGGAGGCATCTTAACAATTAACCCCAGTGAGAAATGACAATGAAATCGATATCGAATCGACGTCGATTCGATTATCGTTTCTCACTGAGACAGATTTGTTAACACAGATTCCTAGAATTCGAAGATTCGCGATTTATTTAGAGTCTATAAAGGTCTATGAGGTCTAACAAGAGACTTGTCACAATTGTCACGAATTGATTAAATTCTCCTTGATAGATGTTGTTAAATACAAAATAAGAGACACACCATTGGAAAATTTAAGTTAACTTTGACACATCTCACATGTCTCAAACGGTTCACTCAAATTTATATGTTAATGTAATACACAATGAATATGTTAAAAGATAACGCAAATATTATTTAGGAAGATAAACACAAAAAAGATAATACTGACACAGTTTGTAAACAAACTGTGGAATTTTTTTCAGTAAAATTAGCATTTATAATATGTTAAAATAACACATATTTTATTCATTCATATTAGAATTTAAATTTTAAAATACATTGTTTTATGTATAATTTGTTTACTTATTCACAAATTGTATTTTAACACTAAGAAATGTTGAATATTTATTTAACACAAACTATTTAAATAACATAATCATATTACGTTAAATTAGCACTTGAATATAAAAAATTCAACGCAAGATTTTAACGAGGACTCGAGTGAAACGTTTTCAACACAAATATTTTCTATTGTGCACATATTTTTTTATATCGGCTAAATTTAAGATTTAAAGGGTGAAACAATCCTTCAAATCTAACGTTTATATTTGATTCAAACCAATTAGCAACAAAACAGTGAGATATATATAAAAAAATGTTTTAGATAAAACTTTTATGGGTTTTTATATACCATGTATTTAAATTTTTTTAAATCCAATATTTAAAAAATACCTCTATTTCTATTAAGTTTTTTTTAGGTGTAATTGTTTCACCGCTTAAATCTCAAATTGAGTTGATATAAAAAATACGTGTCTCTTGGATTTTTTTATTTAACAACATATTTCAAGAATCGAATCAGTTCCAAACAATTGCGATAGGATCCTTGTAAGATGCAACAACAACTAACAGTTTTCTGATGGGAAATTGTTTATGTACGCTGATCCAAATAACCGGCCAACAATCGTGCCTCATCATACCGTCGGCGGCTTTCCGCGCGAAGAAAGCTGCGGATTATCTCCTAATTTAAAATTATAATTGATAACCCGTGGACGGGTTCTCGCGTGGAGTTCTCCGCAGACTCGGGAGATACGACGGGCGGGCTCGGCGGCTTTATAAAGAGCAGAGAGATCAACTCCCGAGGTGGAGGGCGGATTAAATCCCGTAAGAGGCAGTGGAAAGGTGAGACCGCCCGGAGAAGCGAGGATAGAGTAAACATCGCGTTGTTACCACGATGTACTCCCGCAATCCCCCGCCACTAAAAAATTTTCGCGCTGTGCTTAACACGCTCCTGATTCAATTAAAACGATTTAAGCAACGCGAATGAGGCATTATGAGAGGCGTTATTTACAACCTCCGTCCTTAAAACACTGCCCTGTGAAGTCATCGGGGTTTCATCGACACGAAATTAATCGCCGATATTTCTCCCCGTCTTTTTCAGCTCGACCTATTTGCTGGGTCAACGACGTGGATTCAATGATCAGTTGAACGATACGAAGAAGCGATTCACGTACTTCGCCCCGTACGACTACGCCTGGAAAGACGCGGCGAATAACTATCCATCAACTACTAAGAAGCTCTTCATGCCCGAGTTCAGTTATCACGTGAGTAAACTTCCCAGATGCGCGCGTACTGCATCTTAAACTTTTATATCCGAGATTATTGCTGTCAGAGCTCTGCATCTCTTAATCTTCTTGCCTTATTGGATCGTTAAATTTTTTAATAGTTGTACTTTTTTACTATCAAGTCTTCTCGAGGTCACAAACGAAAAGATCCTGTACTAATCGTATGGAAAAAGCGAGTCAAATTGACTGAAAAACTGTAATATTCTGTAAGTCTTCTAAAGCCTTCATAAACACAACCATCAAAGATTGTCAGATTTTACTGTAACACCATTTGGAAGTTATTTTCTAATTGGACTAAAAAAAAGTACCTTTATCTATCAAACTATTCATTTGTTAGTAATTGTATCTAAATACTTTTATGTACAAAATAATAAGATGACTCAATTAGTGTAAAAAAAACACATAATTGCTTTAAAAAAAAATATGTAGTTGCATATTGCAAATTGCATAATTTTTTTTTAACAACTATGTATTTTTTTACATCAATCGATTTATCTTATTATCGTATACATAAAAAGTATTAAAGTACAGTTATTAAAAATAGTTTAGTAGATAAAGGTACTTTTCAGTTCGATTCGACTCAAAATAGCAACTTTCAAATGATGCTACAGCAAATAATCTGTCCATTCTTTGATGGTTATGGAGACTTTTGATCAGCAAATCTGAAAACTTAATGTTTCATAATCTATAAAATATTATAGTTTCAGCCAATTTGACTAAAACTACTTTTTTCTTATGATTAGTACAGAATCCTTTAGATTTCTATTATTTTCTCGAATATACGATAGTACGAGGAGTCAGCTGTCCAAGAAGATCTTAATGTACATCCAACTGCAAAAGTATACATAATTCGTTCACAGACGAAGCAGATATTGGAGCGACATCTCATAATAGCAGATCAGGCGTACACGATGGCGAAGCTGAAAGAAATGAGCAACGATACCCTCTACCTCCCAGCGGCCAGGGACATTTTAAAGCTTCGTATCAAGGAGCACAGCGAAAGTGAGTAAATAAGTTTCAAAACGATACGTCTGTCGCATCTCAATGTCAACTTAGGCAGTCGGACGTTTCGCAAAAATTTCATTCGTCCAACGCGGAAGACGGCGCGAAGTCTCATATTCGCGCGAGCGTAATCTGGATGCGCGAATACGTTAGAGAAGCATAGGGACAGTTTCCTCGGTGACACAAACGCGTTCCTTTGCTCAAACATTAGTTATCTAGAGCGATAGCTCGAATGTCTTGTCTCGCGATGTGCTCACGATTGTTTTCGCGGATTGGAGACGCGAAACCGTCACGGAGATGCCGCGTCCCCGCACCTGTCACCGACACTCTCAAACCTGGTGCTGTCTGATTACATGTAGATGAGAGGTACGACGAAAACGCAATCCGTCCAGAAACATCCGGTGAGTGAGCTAAGTGTGTTTAAACGTCGCCGACGAGCGACGACACGAGCGCTTTCACTTTGTACGAGCAGCACAGTTACTATAAATTGCGACCTACCGAAGGAGTGCACCCTTCTTACGCACCGCGTTACGCACTCGCGCGTACATGCCGTGTTACGTCTGTGCGCGCGGGAGGATGAAACTCGTGCGTAACTCCCGCCCCAGCGAAGTTCGTTTTTTATATAATTGCCGGATCTGTGGACTCTGGGATGCGTAAATTGCGTAAATTGAATGTACGATATTTGACGATATCGGAATTTCATATTCTTAACATTTAACCCTAGAATGTTATTGTGGGTGAATTTTTTTAGTCGATTGTTTAGTAGATTATATAGCAGATTTTAGAAGATTATATAGTAATTCTTTTGTTATATATATATATATATTAAAATTTTGATAGCTTCAAATAACATTTAATCGTTTGAGAATGGAAGCATTCTCAATAAAAAAAAACTTAAAGAAGACTTTGTTCCAAAGATTTGCGAAATTCAAATTCAAAATCTAGTCTCAGAATTCAAATTACAAAAAAATAATCTAATTATCGTGAAATTAAGTTCTTTGAGTTTGAATATAGCCTGAAAATATACATATTTTCAAGTTTCAAAAATTTGTTAACTTTTAATGATAGAGAATCTAATATCAAAGGCAATCACAGTTTGGAAATAAATACTAACTGTTTATATCACTGATAAGCTTCAAATAAGCAAAACTTGAAACTTGATATTATTTTTGAAATTCTGTCCGTCATATTGAATGCATTATTTCAATTTTTTTATTTTTAACCTCAGATTCGAGTAAAGCAATATCAAATTATCTTATCGGCCAAGTTTCATAAAAATTTAACAAGTAGTTTACAAAACAAAAAGGGATGCTCTCAAATGGAATTACTTATTCACAAAGGGTTAATAAGATTATTTAACATTAAAATTCATTTTTTACATTGAAACAGTGTTAGTTCAATTATTTTAACCTTATTTACCTTTAAATCTATGAAGTAGATATAAAAAAGTTTTTAATTATATGAATGAATTTTCACTTAAAATAGTGCAAAAAAAATATGAATTGCATTCCAGGGTTAAATTCGATAATTTTATGTAGAACTGTAGTTTCAATTAAATATAAGACGCTTTGAAGAACATCCGCGTGAAAGAACGGGAGAGGACTCAGCATTCCAGGAACCGTGGATCCTGAAAATTTTACGCTCGCTAAATCTTGGCTAAACTTATCTTTAGATCCTTGGGTGCTGCCTTTCGTGCAACGATTCTGATTTGTTTTCTGTATGATCGTACGCCGAGCTTGTGCGCTTACGCTGACGCTTATACGCTTACGCATACGAAGGATCTAACGCGGGGAAAATGCAATGCCCCTTCAAAATGAAACGAACTTCGCTCGGCGCGTAGAGACTGCGTAGAGACCTCGTTCGCACGGAGATTAGTGACCAGCCGTCGATGCTTCGTTTAATTATTTTGTATTATTTGGGATATATTGCATCGCAGTTGAATTATACATTGCATCTGTATATTGCAGACGTTCTCAAACTGCGATATTTGGTATGAATCTTTCGTTTTGAAAATCTCCCTCGTTATTTCTGCAACACCCAGAGAAAGATTTCTTCGATCTAAAGAAATGTTTCTTTGCTATACGGTTAAAGACAAAATTTCTTTGTTTTGAACGTCATTTTTTTTATTTGAACATAATTTCCTTAAATGAAATTTTTTTTATTTGATTTCAAGCAATAATGTTTAAATCAAGTTTTAAAAAATGACGTTCAAATCAAAGAATTTTTGTTTTAACCATGTAGTAAAGAAATACTGAAAAAAATTTCTGTTTGGAAATGAACGAATCAGAATTTTCTGGTTAAATTTATTAGAATTCTAGTTGAGATAACCGGAATTCTGGTTGATACAATTTTTGGTAAAATCCAATAGAATTCTTATTTTTACCAAAATAATTATATCAACTAGAATTCCAGTTATCTCAGCTAGAGTTCTAGATTTAACTAGAAAATTTTGATTCGACCGTTTTCCATCAGAATTACTATTTAATTCAACCAGACCATTTTTCTCACAATCAGTGTAACATTTCTTTAAATCGAAGAAACCTTTTTCTGGATGAATGCTTGAGAGTCCCTGTCTTACCACACTCGAACCTATTGTTAAATAATACAAGGGACCACGCACCCACAATGGACGGCCCAGAAAATCAAAACCGTCCCGATTTTCACGATCAATTAAAACCGGGACTCTCATCCCTGCGGGATGCATTCACGCCGCAATTTTCGTTACAGTCGCAAGCGGGACCCCAGGGGAACTTAGTGCGGAGTCAAAAATCACTGAATTGAAATAAAAAGAAAACGACGGAGTATAAAAGCAGTGAGAAAGAGAGGGGTGGAAAGCGACAACGCGGAGTGAGCAAAGCGCGCGCGGGTGCGCGAGAAACAAAAGCGTATTAATTGCGGCGAGGGCAACAATACTCATTGTGAACGGCGGAATTAATTACGACGAGCAGAACGCCATTGTTGCGCGTAAATTAATTGCGACAACAACAGCAATAGGATATCATTACCTTTGTCGCAAAACGAGGAATCGCCCCTCCTCGCCGTTTTGCGATTACTATTTATCGTATATATGACCTCTGCCCGTATAAACGTGCGACACGTGGTGATAAGGATAAGGAACTTCGAAGAATGCACGGAATCTTATTTACGGAGGAATCATCCGGTAGCGAGGGTATAAAATTCTACTCGATCTGAGAGACGTACGTCAGCTGTCCCATAAAAGAGAAAATGATTCGCAATCGTTTAGACTATATATATGTACGTAGATATTAATCCCATAATATCTAGCCGTGTTCTATACATTAAGCGGTCGAAAGCCAGCTGCCCGCCATTGTATTAACATTAAAGCGACAGTAATTTGTTATGCGGGGGTCGATACTAATTACTTTCCCGGTTGATTTGACCGCGTGTTGTTTCAACAAATTCACCTACGGGGAGAAATAAAATGGCATCCGAATATTAATGAAGCCATCTACTAATCGAAACGATCGAAATGTAAAAGTGCTTGTAATATTTCGCTTGATTTAAATTGGAAACTCTTGGAAATATTCAGGTAACAAATAACGTAACGATTGAGGACTCATCTCGGCTATTCTGTACAGGTTTTGCTGAACATCTATAAAGTTTAGGTATAAGATACAAACCTGAAAATAATTTTATTGGATTATTAAAATAATTATGTAGGTCGCTAAAACTAATTGCTAAAATATTAAAACTTTTTATAGCATTGATCATTCCCTGGTGAACAAATTTTGCTGAAATTATTCCACGTTTTGGAATATTTCAGCCAATTGCTGAAAATTTGCTGAAATTTCACTGAAAGTGAAATTTTCAGCTAATACTGAAAAATCGCTGGAATTACACTGAAATTTTGTTGAAATTTTTCTGAAATTTTGCTGAAAAGTGTTCCAAAACGTGAAATAATTTCAGCGAAATTTTTCCACCAGTGATAGATTTGAGTTTTCCATATATAATTATTTTGATGATCCAATGAGATTATTTTCAGTTCTTCGATGAAACGAAACTTCAGCTAGAGATTTTAAACGCGTTAAGGAAAGAGTTATTTCTCGCCTTTTAACTCGGATTTTATTTGTCAGTTTTCTTTCAGCTAGATCAAAGAGATCTGTATCTAGATCACACAGATCTATATTTTAATTTTTAGATACTTTAGCAAAATTATCTTTCTGTGTGGTACGTATTTTTCGCGCAAGTTCAACGCAAATAAACTACTCGAAAGGGGACTTCGTTTCCGTATGTGTTGCCGCGAGATGCAGCGAGTCCAACTTCCGTCGCGTCGCGTAAAGTCCAGGAAATTCTCGAACGGATGCAACGCAACCCCCATCCCCTAAATAGTTCCTTTCACGGTCCCGCGTTTTGACGCCAGAGTATGATGAATATCTGGTCACCGCGCGCTGGGATTTTTCCGCGTTATCGAAAATGAAACTCGCAGCAGTGACTCGCCGTTTTGCGAAAAATATGTCGCCTCTCGAGCACCTCTCAAACACGGAAGCCGGAAACGAATGCGCGCACCATTATGTGCCGGAACCGCAGGGCGATTTATTATGCACCTTTCGACCACCATTTAAATGCAAATTCCTTGATTACCCCCGGCGCTAATTGCTACGTGCTCTCCCGGTTATTCGCTCTCGCCTATGAGCAAATTTCCGAGGCGTTTTCCAAGCTCGCGACCGTCGCGCTTTTACCGCTCTGTTTTACAATCCTACGAAGGGGTACCAAAGGAGAGCGAGAAAAAGATTGAGTTCAGTAAACCCTTCGTTAAGCGAGGCGAAGACGCTTAAACATACAAGGTGGTGTTGGAAGAACCACAAAAGTGTTCCTTCCGTATTTGTCGAAATACAGCGACGATAACATACTGAAAAAAGTTTGATAATAGTTGCTTTTCATTTACACACGTGAAAGTACACAAGTGAAAGTAAGTCTGACGTGAGCTGAGTATTTTATACTCAGATTAATGGACGTCACTACTCACTTACTTTGGCTGTGTTCCAAAATTTACTGCCAGTACTGAAAATCTATAGTGCATGTAACGTAAACTGTAGCATTTTCAATACTGGCAGTAAATTTGGAACACAGCCTTTGATAAAAAGTTATCACTGATGTCAGCACAGATTCATAATCTCACTTTGAAGTGAGTTTACGAGGCTCACTAAGGTTCAATTTCACAACTCACGGTTAACTCTTAACCGAGGTTCAACTTATTCTCATCTCTTTCCAATTCTAGCATTAGAAAGATGAAGTTAAATCTCGGTTAAGAATAACAATGAGTTGTGAAACTGGGCTTTAAGCATATAATCTCGATCTTGTGCAGATTATAGGTAAAAACTCAGTTAAATCTCACTTGTCAGAATGCAAAAGAAACATGCATTCAACTGAATTATGACGTCATAAGTGAGAATTATCTGAGAATCAGTGTAAATGGAAACCAACTAATAGCTAAATATTGGGTGAAACACGTCGTCTACAATATACGAACTAAACTACTTAATATAAGAGTAAGAAATTGACCAATCACAGTCGAATGTGAGAACTGTGATCAATTGTGATTGGTCAATTTACTGTTGCTTCTTACATCAAGCTTACTCCGCATATTGTAGACGACGCAAAACAGTTTCAATCAAATGTTTAGTTATTGTAACTAAAAATAATTTTACTTTCCTCAATATATACTTTCCTAATTATTAACAAACTAATTATTTAACATATTGAAGAAAGTAAAATTATTTTTGATTAAATTAATATTATTATGTCTTGTAATACTTACTAAGTATTTAGAAAAATACTATTTGTTTGATTATATTAACCGAACATTTGATTGAAATTATTTCACTCAACGTATGGTAGCTGTTACCAGACACTCTTTTTTCAGTGCACGCCAAATGGAAACTTTATTTGCAATCGTATGGCGCCATTTATGTTTCTCACTAGATACTGTCGCTGAATTTAGTTCATCGATTCGTTATTAGAAAGTTGATTCCCTCTATTTTATTTTTAATCCATCGATTTTTCTTTTTAGCATCTCACGACGTTTATTTTAGGATCTCTATATAGACTATTCTCCCATCATCGAATTTATCATTCGAGATTCGGCGGGGGAGAGCTTTGTATTCTGCATCGCAGTACCGCTTCACTTATACGTATCACGCGGTTTCCCCGATCCTCGTTCAAAGATCATCGTCAAGTCTCTCTCTTTTCAGGCTACCAAGTGGAGTGGGAGGGCAAGAAGATCCGCGTCATCCGTCCGGACGTCGAGTGCACCAACGGCATCATCCACGTGATTGGCTCTGTGTTCCTCAAGGATAGCGACGTCCGGGTGACGGGCGGCGCGTCGCTGGCCACTCTGGCGCCCCATCTAATCATGATACTGATAGCCAAGTGGCACCTGTAAAAGCCCTCATCGCGTCGCATCGTCTCGTATCTGCGGCAGGTGCGTCTATAGGAATTCTCCTTGGGGGCCGTCTCCTATCGTCCTCGAGCGGCGGCGACAACGACGACGCAACGCGGGTAGGCACGGTCGATCGACCCGTTCGATCGGACTCTCCGAAAGGACATTTATTGTGCACAGGGAAATGAAGGGGAAAGGGGAGGGCGGGGAAAATTTGAGAATCCGAAGATCCGATGGTGACCGAGAATCCGCGAGATCAGAGATCCATGGGACTTAAACGATCCGAGGATCGACGGGGATTCGCGGGATCCGTGGGGAAGAGGGGCAGAAAGAAAAGTGTCCGATCGGTTACTTTATAGCGATCGTACGGAGGCACGAAGGAAGCTCTCGCCGAGGGAACGACGCGAGGACGACCGAGCACTCACGATCGCACGGCCTCAGAATGCCAGGATAGCCTATTATTTATTGAGTAATCGTCCGTGGACGTAGCGGGACAATTTTACGGGTTAGAAGCGTTAATCGTACCAAATAAATGGTTAATCTCGTACCAAGTAATCTAAATAAATTTATTGAGAGACGGAGGGGCGTGGAGAGAGGCGGAGGAGAGGTAGAGATTTCGAGGAACCTACTTCGAGTATTAAGGCAACGATGAAATTGCATCCTGTGAGATCATGCGACTGTCAGCGAGCGACACAAATATGCAAGTAAAATTGCGTTTTAATCGATCGTTCTTTCCATTATTATCTAAGCAATCGTATTGACAAGAAATTATTCGATTTTGTGTCTCAACCGAGAAAAAAATTGTGACTTTACAGTTGGTGAATAAGATGATCGGTAATTATGCATTTAATTGCATATTCCACGCGCCGTTCTGTAGAATTAATAGGAACTTAATGACGTATCAAAACGTTCCACACGACCCTTAGAACAAGACTTCGCCATTCCCTCGTGGAATTGTACGATTTTATATACGACAAGTACGATTTTATACAATCGTAAACATAAAGTCCAAAATCCTTTCCCTCCAAAGCGACGACGGTAATAAAACTAGACGCAATGCTGATCACCCGTTTCAATCAACGACAGTAATAACGTCGAGATGCAATATCGATCACTCCGAATGAGTAAGCATTTTTGGAATAAAGGAATCCATCCCGAATCTTACCATCTCGAAATTCATCGATTTCAGGGTACTATGTATTCTTTTTCGCATCCGTGGATCCTTTCGAAGAACGGGACAGTCGGATTTCTATCAGATCTCAGGACTCCTGTAGATCCTTAAATCCCTATGTGGATTTTCGCTTCTTCGACTTTTCGAGCGGGATCCACGGATCCTCGAACTCCTAATAGACAAGAAGTCTGTTCTTTTGAGCTGACCCTTTCTTGCACAGTTCATCTTTTTTCTTTTTCTCTCTACGTTGAATAAAAAAAAGAGAAAATAAGATGAACGTGCAAGAGGTTCAGTTCAAAAAGAACAGGCCTCATGCTTTCGAGTTAGAGATCCTTAAGTAAGAGCCTGGTCACTCGAAACAAATATGGCAGCAATATTTGACTTTGTATTGCAGAGTATACAGGCTTCCATAAGCTCTATGTGATTCAACCTATAGCCGGAGACGTTACGAGGCACTAAGCAGGTACGTTCCAGCATACGGCAAAATTTTAATAGGCGGTGTTACTCTTGTAAATATAAAGCTCTACCTTACTTGATATTTTAAATGAATTAGCTAAGAGTGGTTTTCTGGAAATCTTTTCAAATTTAGCGCGTTATGAATTTTATTAACTGTGCCAATATCTGTGGCAATTGCAGAGGCATCTTTTTCAAAATTAAAAATAATAAAGAATTATCTGAGAAATACAATGACGCAGACGCGGTCATGCGATTTAGCTATGATATCAATTGAAAAAGAATTAGCAAACAGTCTTGATTACATCGTAACGCCTCCACCTTTAGCTCTACCATGACTCATATAGCTTGGCCATGACCTCCCTAAATCTTAAGGAATAAAAATAATTAAAACCGCTTAAATAAACTATGCTTAATGATTCACAAGAAATTAATTTTGGAAAAGAAGATAGAATTTAGAAGTTATAGAAAATTTTCTGAGAATCCAAGATGGCTAGTGTTAAAAATTTAAGCTTTTCCAGTTCGAAGATCAATTTTCAATTTTAAGAGAAAAAGTAAATAAATTAAATATATGTGATTTTATGATTTATCTGCAAGTAATTAATATTTAAAAAATATAATAATATAACAATTCCAATAAATCCAACCCTCCTTCCTCTCCCGAGTTCAAAAGTATCAACTTTAATTTGATCCCTCTTTAAACAAAATTCTGATATATGCCCTCTGCAACGCTGCCGTATTTGTCTCGTAAACAAACTACTGGGTGCCAGAGACTTTTACTTGAGAGTCTCTACTTCAGGTCTCCGTAGATCCACAGTCGATCGGTCGATTTAATAAACATTGTCGTCAGTTAGCGTCGTTGTATCAATTCGCGGCAGCCTTGTGGTGAAATCGGATCGAACACCGACACAAACAGACGCGTAAAAACACGTCAACGTCATCACGGTATGGCGATACGGCGAACGTATCCCGGGGTGCGAGCGCATAGCGACGCGAACGGGGTGAACGTTTAGCCCCCTGTTCCTTCCCCTATTAAACCTCGACGTTCAGGAAACGTCGTTCCCTTTAGGACACCGTGTTTTCGAGCCTTTCTCTTGTCTCGGAAGGGTTATAACGGCCACCGCGGCTGCTCAGGGACGGCCCCGAACGATACCCCGCTATGTATCATATCGTATTTACGCTGTCTACTTACCGAGAATACTGCCATGCACGCAGGCTTGCGGACGAGCTTGCAAACGAGTTTTTGTACGATAATTATTAACAGAGGGAGAGCGAAAGGTAGAAAAAGTGGAAAGAGTAAAAGCGAGAACGTTCTATCTTGAAACCGGCGATCCCTAAAAAAAAAAACAAGTGCGTTAAGCTGTTACACGAATCTAGAAGCGCGAGGAAATAAAATATCTTGACTTAGGATGCGCAGAGGAGGAAAAGTTTGGCACTCTTAGCTTCTATTAGTTTCGCAAATTTACAACAGAAAGCAATATCCTCTTAATTTTCTCGTATTATCTAGGACACGGTAACTTTTTAAAAGAGGAACTGACAGGAATTCATTCTGTGAAGTGAAGTGAAGGGGAAAAGAGGGTTTGCTGCACAACGTATCTTAAATACCTGTTAAAGAATTAAATTAAGAAAACGCGAAAGGTCACTGAATTAATTCCCAACAAAGAAATTCGTCTGCAGAAGGAATTCCTATTAATCTCCTTTGATTCGCTTATTTTTTTACGCGAACGGAAAGACATTCCGTGACCATATCTACTCTAGGTGCACGGCACGCGCTATCGTTCTATCGTAATAACTACATCCCGATGAACTTTCTTTTCCCTCTACGCTCATCGCATTATTACAGACACACGTACAGGCACACGCATATATACACGCACACCTCGCCCGTCGAGTAGCGAACTTACTATTAAGATCTTAGCTGTATGCGTGCGAGCAATAGCGACGGCCCATCTTACTCGTAGAAGGGAAGTCCGAAAGACACGGCTAAAAGGAAATTGGTATAAGTTTATAATGAAATCGATTAGACGCATTCAGTGCGCACTGATGCACATTAAAACCGTTGTATACAGATTAACGTAAAGATACGTGTTTAACTCTGGAACATACACCATAGGTTTTCCAGACCCAAACGAAATTTTACTTGCTTCGAAGAAAAGAAAAAGGAGAATTCTGTTTTATAATGTAATATAAAACTTTTGGGCATTACAACCTATGCAGGTATATTCCTAAATCTCAAAGAGCTTAAAAATAAAAAAGAAAGAAAGATATTAATCAAAAATCTAAATCAAAGTTACAGCCTATTAAGGCCCGTCTACAATACACGGAGTAAGAAGTAAGAGTAAGAAATTGACCAATCACAGTCGAATATGAGAAGAATAATCGACTGTGATTGGTCAATTTCTTACTCTTACTTCTTACTCCGTGTATTGTAGACGACGCCTTAAAGTTACAGTGGATTTGAAAGATCTATTGTAACTTTGACAGGTGAGTTTTCAGAATTTTTTGGAAGGTGTGTGTTCTGGGGTTAATATAAATATAGAAACGAGTTAAACCGCGAAATCATCAATACACTTTACTGTGCTGTTAGATAAAATATGTATTTTATAATTCGAAATTTTTACATTTCACTTTTATACTCGAATGAAATCAATGTACAACGGCTTTAATGTACACGCCAATGCACATCAGTGCGTCCAACCGAATTTACTATTAGAACCGATAATCAAATGAGATCCGAAAGGTGGGAATTTATTCTTTCGTTGGCCAAAAGTCGAAATAAAAGGGTAAGTTAGCACTTCTCCGAGCACTCTTTCGATGGTCGTAATACATATTGAAAATCTTTGATACATACAAATATATTTCTCAGATACGTACCGTTTTAAACGCATCGCGAGAGGATTTTGACTATAGATTATTGAATTTTTAAATATCCTCGCATATCTTGGAAGCGATCCGAGACCCAAAGAGACGCGGAGAAGAAGCAGAACTTTATTCGTCAATTAATCGGATGTTCCCTTATTGATAGTATTCTCGCGCAAGCTTATCTATCGGGGAAATGAATATTAAAGGATAATGAATATTAAAGGACAAACGGAGCTTTCCATTTAGCCTTCGTCTTCGCTAAGGTAAAATCGATTTCACATTCTCTCACGAATAAAGTCCTGCTGCAAGCACTACGCTTGCTTGTAGCGCAAACGAATTAAAGTAAAAAAAAAAGAGAAAAAATACTCGACACGTTCGGAGCTCGAAGGGGGTGATAAAGCCTCGAAATTTCGTGTCCTCCTTGAGGACGAACCTGAAGTAAATGCAGTAAGAGAAGCGCAAGATGGTTCACGTTCAACTGATAAAACGCCGAAACCTAAATGAAAGACAATTGACTGATCGGATCGTCGTTAAATTTCGCAACACGGTCCGATAATTTGTTTGCATTAGTCACGTATAAAAAAAAAGATAAAGATTGTAATTAGCGGGCGCGTAATCGGAGCAGCCACAACTTTCTCCGCGAGAACTTGATTTAATAAGAAAAAAAAACGTCGATGTTATACGTGTTGATATCAGTCTATACATATATATAAAACAAATAAAGATATATATAATAAACAGAGATATATATTAATGAGGAAGAAAGTATCGATCGAAGAAGAACGAGTCGAGGGAAAAAAGACGGAAAGGTAGATAAAAA